AGCCGTCCGGGGAATTTTGCCCTCAGAATTATCATGGAAGTTCGGGGTGTGTGGGCCGTAACACCATCCTGGTGGAACCAGACATTTCATAGATGCATTTCTTCAAGAGCTGGTTCGAAAAAGTTTTCGTCATGTCCACATACCGCTGTGAATTGACAGTAACTGCATGATTGTCTTCTTCAAAAAGATAAGGGCCAACAACTCCAACTCTCGACAACGCACACCATACTGTCATCTTATCACTGTGAAGTGGCCTCTCATGGAGCTCTCTGGGATTGTTACCACTCCATTAACCCATATTCTGCTTGTTGACATACCCGGATAGGTGAAAACGTGCCTCATCACTAAACAAAACAAGTGCATCAGGCGGTAAAGTTTCGAATAACGTTTCGCACGCCGTTATTCGGTTCTGGAAATCACGTGGTGACAATTCTTGCACAACAACCATCTTATAGAGATTGAAATGAAGATGTTCGTGAGGAATTCGGCGCATTGAACGAGTGGATATGTCTAGGGGGACTGCATGTTTGCGAGCGGAGCATCTTGAAGATCTCAAAATCGACTGTCGAACTGCCTCCACATTTTCTGGCGTCATAACTGTCCGTTGTAGTCCTGATAATTTTTTCACCACACTCCCGGGTGTTCTAAAGTTCTCTACCGACAAAACAGTTGATTTCCGGTCAGGAACCGTGCCTCTGGGCTTAATTCCAAAGTCAGTACGGAACGCACGCTGCACCGCCACGTAGGAATTGTTGTTTGAAAAATAGGCTTCGACAGCAAACGCACGCTGCTCACTCGTCCACCTCATGTTTCCTACTGAGCGGAATTAGACAGAAACTTCCGCGACTGCTGCGTTCGCCGAGCCTATCCCCACTTTTCTGCGACCTCCCGTCCATTCACAAAGCGTCTTCACAAAAAGGAAATTTCTGCGTCCCACTCTATACAACGTATACAGAACCTCTGTTAGTCCAGACTCAGTACAGCACGTCATGCCCTATCAAGTCAAAAGTCACATTGCGACTGACGGCCAGTCAATCAGTAAGTCTTGATGTCGAGCCCCGTCTGGAGCTCATGACCAGATATTTATTACTGTTTGACAGTTTCGGTCTTGTTTCTGTGGGGCGCCCTCTCTGACGAGGGGACAGGTCTGTGTTTTGTATATGTTGCTGGACCTTGCCAGCGCAAGTCTTTCTAGGGTCCGAGTCCCTTGGTACTCGTGACAATATTTTACTCTCTCGGATTTGAGACTTCCATTTTCGTCGCCTCATGCGATTCGCAGGGTCACGGTGTAGGTATTCGACCCCGCGTCCACACGGGTTTGAAATCTTCCAAGTCCAAGTCACATTGCGACTGACGGTCGGTCAGTCAGTCAGTCAGTAAATCTTGGTGTCGAGCCCCATCTCGGACTGATGACCAGATATTTAATGTCCTATTATTAGTAGCTCCTGCTACAAAAACAGCGGCACGAACTACACAGAAAACACAGTTATATTGCAAGAAACGTTGCGTAACCTGGTACCTTGCCACACACAGAACCCCATTCCTACTGTTGCTCGGCGCAGACGACATATAAAACAGCGTTATCTATTGTTGCTTGTTGGACCGTTTTTATATAGCGGTTGCCTCGCAAGCGTTGATCAAATCTGTTAGAATACATTGTCGCGTGTATCGTGGGTACAGTAAGTAATGGGCTCCGGATTTCATAACTTGATTAGCTGGACAATTTCACACGTCGTAACTACAATTCATTACTACACGTACACTTTCACGATTTCTGTATCTATGACACAAACAACTGTAAAACTGTCAAGGTTAACAAGTAAACTACTAAACTGCCTTGAACAATGTCTTCCTGACGAAATCTTTCGAACAAAGTCATAGTCAAAGTCACATTGAGACTCACGGTCAGTCAGTCAGCAAGTCCTGGTGTCACGTCCCATCTGGGGCTAATGACCTGTTATTTATTACTCTTTGACAGCTACGGTCTTGTTTTTTGTGGGCGCCTTTTCTAATGAATTGACGGGTCTGTCATTTTGACATGTTGCTGGACCTTGCCAGTGCGGCCTCTCGAGCAGTCTTCACTGCTTCTTATATATATACTTGACACGGACCACATAGAAAACAGCCTGTATTGTTGACGAAATTTTTTTGTTTGTTGCCTAGCAATGGGAAGCTCTTTTCCTTTTGTTGGCCAATACCTTCTCTTTGCGGGAACGTGTTTACCCGGCTGTTCCCTAGCAACGGTTATATATGTTACAATAATATTCACATCAAATTCTGATTTCAAAGGCTTGCGTACGCCGCTTAGGTCGAGTATTGCATGTCATTGCCGCGGAAACCGGCCAAATTTCTCACTGGATCGACTACTTGAACGCCAGATCTCAACAGTAAAGAGGACACAGGGCCTACGAGAGTTTCCATCCCAGAGACATTCTCGTGTCAAGACGATATAACTCCAAATTCTGGTGACTTGTAAATTCTCATGTGAAGGCCAATCGGCGTAAGAACTCCAGTTATCGCGATCCATATAAACTACTGGGGCTTCACTGTGTAATCAGTGCCGTTAAAAGAGCAGTAACTTCAGAAAATTTCTTGTCACAGATAAATGTCAATTTGGGGGAGGAAGAAAATTTGCACACGCCTAAGTGCTTGTGTGTTAACAACTGCTGTTCAGTGATATAGGCCTTCGGTTTACATCATCACTTGTTTCAGTGACTAATTCAGGGGTTTGGACTGGTCAGTATGTTAAATGGATATTTACTAGTCGTAACTACAGTTAGTTCTTCGCCCTCAAGTTTGCTGTAACTACAGCACATGTAACGTCACACACTAAGTCTTCTAATTCTGCTTCTAGTCACACTGCTGTTCCCTTGGAACTTCGGAACTTAAGTGAAGTCAATTCAGAGAGTCAGAGTTACTTTACAACTGGTGGGTTATAACAAATCTCTTCGTCTTAGCGCCAAGCCTCTCGAGGAGCACGACCAGTATTTATATTTTCAATTGAACACTTGCGTCCATAGCCCTTTTATAACATCCTCTCCGACGAGAGGACGGGTCTGTCGTTTACAATTGCTGCTGGCCCCCGCCAGTGCAGTCATTCTCAGGTCCGAGCCCCGCAGGACCCATGACCACATTTTACTCTTTCAGATTCGAAAACCCCCAGGAACAGGGTGGCCCAGTTATACCCCCAGGCACTGGGTTCCCTTTTCGTCGACTCTTTTGACTCGTAGGGCTACGGTGGAGGCACTCGACTCCTCCTCCAAATGGGATTAGTAACATCCATTATTTTGATTTATGGGCCCTGCATGTGACATTATTATTTGTGTATCACTTTTCGTGTATGATCACAAGGAGCATAGCAGACTTTTGAAGAAGTAATTATATGTGTACTCCATTGAAGTAAACCGCTTTACCAAATGTGCATGTTTGTTTCCCTTATATTACTGTCCTTGATGTTAATTTACTGAAGATAATCCTAGCACGGTTTTTGTCGTAAATCATTTTGCCAATGTTTCTCTAATTATTCAGATATATTTCTTAAATGTTTCCCACACGCAGAGGTCTTTTAAATACTGCCACGTGTAAGAGTGTCTCTCGACGAGGGTTCGGATGTGATATCATATCCACTCGCCAGTGAAGTCAATTCTCATTCCTGTATTCTCCCATATCCTCTCGGCACTGACCACGCATAGAAAACACAGCCCCTAATTGTTGCGTAGCCCAGACCACACAGAAAACAAGCCATGTGATAACTATCTCGCCAGTCCATTGGCTTGCTGACTGTTGCCTAGCTCTACATGTTACAATACTTCTATATCTGAATGTAAATATAGTCAGCGGCTAGCCTTCACACTATCGGAAGTATGCCTTGAAATACAATCGCTGTGCTTTATGCTGGATAATGTAGTCAGGTCATACTGTATAATACTAATAACTAAATATAGCGAACTTGACTAAATTATTAAATCTGATCCATAGAAACAGAATCTATTGATCTAGAGTATTCCCTCGCTAATCCGGTTATAGTTAAGGATCGAAATATTAAGAAGTTGAGGCACTATGCTACAAACAGAAAGGTCGCAGTTTCGATTCCTGATGAAGTCACTGGATTCTTTCAAATGACCTAATCCTTCCAGTCGCACTATGGCCCCGAGGTCGGCTCAGTATCTAACAGAAATGAATACCAAGAATCTTCCTGGGGGTAAACGACGGCCGGCTCGTAAGGCTGACAACCTCACCGCCATCTGTTAGCAGATTATCTAGAAAATGTGGGAACCTCGAAGTCTCACAAACCTATGGGCCTCCACGTCCTGTTACAGGGATAGCTCTACTTTTTTACACTGGAAGAAGAGAGATGCGGGGGTCAGAGATAAAGCTGTAAACTTAAGAACCGAGGGTGTGATAACATACGAACTGCTCAGGATTGAGGACCACCGAAATGGGGTGGTCATGTATGAGAATGAATTAATAACGGTATGATGATAATCAGAGCAAAATTAAAAAAAGAAAAGCCGTAAGGAAACGTGTCCCAGTGTCACTTCGTCAACCATGAACATCAGACAAACACTCGAGAATGAAGCAGGACGCCAACGCTTAACAACCTGAAATCTAGTTGTAGGGTAATTCAAATATAATAAAGATTTAGTCCAATTAAATATAAAATTTGTATATAGTGACCAGCAAGTGTTACGAGTTAGGTCTTTGTTCGAAACGAGTCCGTTGTTTCGGGAGACAATAAAGCCTCCATCTTCAAACTCGAAAATTGTACCAAGCAAGAAAAAGTCAGCATAAGATATAGCAAGTGTCACGTAATTTCGAACAAGGCCAAGAGTAACTTTGAATGCGCAGAAGAAGAATTTCAGACAAGGGGGTGGTTTCGAGAATGTGAGAAGTAACAGGCGGCCAGTTGTTTGTAAGGCACCCTCGAAGCAGGTTATACTTACGGTTTTTCTATAATTTGTTTAAAAACGTCAGTTTCCTTGTGCGCTAAATCGTACATAATGAGTAAGAAATTAGGTCAGGGTATAGGTCTACACTCACAGACGAAGCAAGTAATTGCAAACGTATATAATTACTTAGAGAGACTAGCAGATAGTGGAGCTGCTGTAAACTTGAAGTCAATCCAGAAAACAGTATGTGAAGCTACAGGAATCGGCCGTACTGCACTGAATGAAATTATTCGAAAAGAAAGGAGCTTAGAAGAGGGCGCTTCCATTGACTCACCGACCAAGAAGCGTAAGAAGGAGAAACCTGTAACGGAAAGTGGTCAGTTTATAGAAGATGCCATCAGAAGAAGGATCTACGACTTTCATAAAACAGAGGGCGAAAGAGTTACCATGCCCAAACTTCACAAACAAATGGTTAGAGACCTAAAATTTGAAGGAAGTCTTCCTAGTTGCGGGAGAATTGTTCGCCGGCTTGGTTTTCGTTGAAGAAGGACGAGGGATAATACAAAAACATTGATTGAAAGGCATAACACCCATTTTAAACGCCTGCATTTCTGAGGACAATCAGGCAATATTGCAGAGAAGGTCGGCCTACAGTGTATGTCGATGAAACGTACTTGCACAGCAGCCACACATCTCATACTCCTGGGATGACTCGCTAAATAAAACACTCTCCTCTCCTATTGCCAAAGGTCCACGAGCAATTATTGTACATGGTGGTGGTAAGCAAGGTTTTGTGGAGAAAGCTTTGCTTATGTTTAAACCAGGCAGAAAAACAGGAGACTACCACCACCTGAAGAGTTCTGGAAACTTTGAGAAGTGGATCCGGGAAAAATTAATTCCAAACTTGCCTCCAAGAACGGTGATCGTAATTGACAGTGCAAGTTACCGTAATATTGAAGTAAAGAGAGCGCCAACTTCAAATACCAAAGTAGGTGAAATGAAACAGTGGTTGGCAGAACGGAACATTTCGTATCCGGCTGCGGCACCAGAACTGTACGAAATAATAATAAAAAAACACACAATTCAGATAAGAATATAGACTGGACGCTATTTGTGCTGCTGCTGGACACTTTGTGATACGTCTCCCACCTTATCATCCAGACCTTAACCCTATTGAGATGGTGTGGAGCACCGTTAAAAATTGGGTGGACCAAAGTAACGTGACATTTAAGTTGGACAATGCAATGCTTCTAGCAGAGGAGAAATTTAATTCCATTTCCGCCGAAGACTGGGCAGCATATTGCAATCGAGAGGACCAGTACTTCGCAAGGGAAATGGATATCGACTCCAGGACAGACAATATAATCATCACAACAGGTAGTGAGGAAAGTGGAAGGTCACATGAAGATGATGAGTAAATAAGAGATACGAGGTATGACCAGTTTTAATTTTCACTATATAGACTACATTACTAACATGGACACACTAGTTAGTTAGTTAGTTATTAGAGAGGGTGGGTTTCCCCATGCACTTAGACCTGTAGTGGTCCATTGTGCTTCCCTCTATGATTTCTACCAGTCTCTATATCCTACCGGTATTGGTGCTTACCATCAGTCCCGCCCAGCCAGCGAGACCGGCTCTCTACTGGCTGAGAAGTATCTATAATGCTTCCCCCATCTACCGGAAGTATTAGTGACTGCTGTTGGGCGGCAAACGTCCGCAATTTTGGCTCAGTGACCTCCTTTAGAGGTATGAGGTTCTTTTACTTGCCGTAAAGCTACGACACGAGACCCACGGCTTAAAGTCCCTCCCGGAGGACTTGTTCCATGAATTTTTCCGCCCTTAAAAATTCGACGACCTCCGCCGGGTATTTGAACCCTCGTACTACGAGTCATGAGGTGGGAACGTTACCACTAGACTACGGAGGCCGCTGACACACTAGTTAATTCTACATGTACTTCCATGACGACTGGATAAATTCATTTCTTCATTACATATGATTATTACATTTTAATTTTTAAAGTATAAATTAGTAATACACATTAAATATATTTTCTTTGCATGAAGAGTGACAATATATTTGTATTATTGTAACATGTTTTTCGAAAAGAGAATAGGGTAGTTTCAATGAAACACGAGGGGTCGGGAAAGTGGAAGAGCGAGTGTTAAGAAACTCCTACCACCACAAGTTATGCGCGGCATTTGACTAGGAATGCGGGGCCTTTTTCAAAGTTACGTGATACTGTCTTATAACGAAAAATTCAGCTAGTTTACTAATAACGCTGCACTTCTAGAAATGGTGGCGTGATGTTACAACGGAAGGTCGGATGCTCCCAAAATACCGCGGCATTACAATCCGAAAAATAAAACACCGTATTCTGCATAGCTACCGCCACGTAACCTCAAACCCAAATGTCACTGTTGTTATTTCATTGCCTTCGGTGAAGATAGCGTAACTTATATTTGTACGGTTGTGGTGGTCATTCCTCTGCAACAAAGTACAGTTACTAAATCGAAACCCCAAAGAGAAACAAAGCTTCATGTATGTTATTAATCCTATGTGCTATAAACAGAATCCAGTTACCCCGTCATACTTGTGACGCACATCAGTACCGCTCCTATTTACCTCCTGCAGGGAACTGCAAATCTCCAGCTGCGAGAGATACGCCATGATCTTTTAGAAGAATTCGAAGACGTAACATTCAACAACAATTTACTTCCCCATGTTCCTAAAATATATGATTCGTAGGTGCACAGAAGCCGATCACAGTGGCCGCTCGGTCTAACGAAAAAATACCATCACCGTCTCCTGAGTTCGAATCCCACTCAAGATATGAATGTTTTTCTGCGTGTATTTTGTGTTGTAATATGCATATATCGGCGTTGCGACTGGCTGATCCCCCATCCAAGGTGTCCTGCCGACTAAGATTAAGAAACTGAAGTGAAACGAAGCGTTTCACGGATGCCCTGTGCTCCAAGTGGTAGCAAAAGGAATAGATGGACAGGTAGACAGAGAGGCAGGCAAGCAGGGAAGCGGATAGTTGGGTACACAGCGACGAATGCATGGTTTAAAACGCGAGGCTCGGTAAGTATGACATAGGAAGAACATGCAATAATGAAAATACCTTATCTGCGCGGTCCGTGCGCTTGTGGAGGCGGGATCAAATACCTCCACCACAGCCCTGCGAGTGATAGGAAGCGATGAAATGGGAACCCCGTGCCTGGGTGTATAGCCGGGCCACCCTGTTCCTGGGGGTATAAATACGGGGACCTGACCTTCCAGGTTGGAGGAGTCTAAAATCTGAGACAGTGAAATGTGGCCATGAGTTCCGCGGGAATCGGACCCAAGAATTGCTGCGCTGGCGAGGACCAGTACCAATTGTAAATGACAGACCGATCCCCTCGTAAGAGAAGATGTTACACAAGGACTATAACCGCAAGTGTTCAGTTGAAAAATTATTGGTCGTGAGTCTCGTGGAGCTTGTCTCCAGGACGAAATGATAAGCAGTAAACTGCCAGTCTTAAAGTTATTCTGATTCTGAAACTGAGTTATTGGTTGATCAGAACCACTGGAAATTTTCCAAGGTGTACACCGGTCTGCGATTTCCACACAGCTTTCAACCTTCCATATATATAGGTCTATATAAGAGAATTGTGCTGGCAACAAGCAGAAGTCATACAGAATCATGAGAATGAGCATGTTCGCGGTATAGGACAAGGTGAAGTCAGACACAGAAAATATAAGAGGCTTAAACTTGGCGGCGGTCAAGCTTACGGCCATTCAAGCGTCTAAGCGGCCGTTGTAGCATATAGATATAAGATAGGCATGCTCTGCTTTGCAAAGCCTGGACTGACAGAGGGCTTGTATTTAATGCAAAGTGAAGAATTTGCAACAACCTGTTATATGTGCAATATGCATATTTGACAAAGACCAAGCATATTCATAAGAGACAGCCCCATCTTCTCGTCAGAGAGAATGTTACATAAGGACTAATACCGCAAGGGTTCAGTTGAAAAAACTCTAATCGTGAAACTAGAAGGACTTGACGCCAAAATAAACTGACTGGCGGTAAACCGCCAGTCGTGAAGTAACTCTGGTTTGAGTTGCTTGAATCAGTTGAGAGTACTGAGTAGCTGGTATCTCAGGCCATAAAGAGTTCGGGAACTCGGGGGAAGGGGAACGTCCTCCGTTGTAAGCCGCTACCAAGCAACGGCAATTGAAGACTGACAAGATTCTATGGGTGCTGCAATTACAGTGAACTTTGGAGTATGGAACTCAGTCAGACTGTCGTAGTTACTTGTAGTTACTCTCAGTAAGTGTTCAATACATCTGATTACAAATCCAAACCCAATCTATAGTCACTTAATCTTGTGACAATACTTTAATATTACTGCTAAATCTAGTGACTTATGAGGTTTAAGGAAGTAGTGTATGTATAAGGGATTATGTGGAGATATATAAGATTTATTATGTCAAGTTAATGTAAAACCACGTATATCATAGATTCGATTTGGTAGATCCAATGACAACAGTTGATAATTCCACAAAATACTTCCACCACACAACAAACCCTTAAGCCAGACATCAACTACGACACAATTAACATACATTCACAAGTTCAGGCTAGATCTTTCCGTAACACACTGTGGCAGCAACTAAGCAATTGCATAGTTCGTCGCATCTATGGTATATAAGATTCTTCAATAATGCAGCATAATAAAATATATATTTCACCATAGCTCCTTATACCGAATAATTCATAAGTATCTACAGAAAGACCAACAATAATTTAGAATCACTCTGTCGAACAAATGCATGCCTACAAGGGTACTGTGATTCTGAATCATTGTCGGGGTTTCCGTAGAGACTTATGAATTATCCTGCATATACATCGCTTCGGTGGACTTCCAGAAGTGGCTAGATTCATCAACAATATAAAATAAAGCATCAACAAACACCCCATAACCCAGTCACTAAATTGTACATAAAACCTGCTTATGCCGCAATTACAAAGTCCTCTGTTATGATCAATCTATTCTGCTTTAACATTCATAATCATATATTAAAATATATTCTCACATGTACTCGTATGTGTGACTATACAGGAGGTTTGAATTGGTAACTGGATTTATTGAACACTTACAGAATCTATCTATAAGTAACTATAGCGCTATCGCTAATTCACACACTCTGCAGTTCACTGCAGAACTGCTGTGTTTTCACCAGTCGTTGCCTGGTAACGGAGTCCAATGGCGGTAGTTCCCCTTAATCTTACTAACTAACTAACTAATTAACTAACTAACTAACTTCATGGAGCTGAGCCATTCGTGAGAAGACTACAATTGTGCAGCTACCCAAAATTTTCCAACATTTTACAGAACAAAAATATTCATTACCTTCTTCACGTCGCGTTCATTCTGTTGAGAGTGAAGCAGATCTGAAGCTGCAGAACGCGATAGCCGTGCTCGCAACCGTGCATCCTCAAGTCTGGCTACACGTCGCTCTGCTGCTTCCTCGGTACGTATTTGAGCCATTCTTTGCCTGCTGCGCTCTTTCTCTGATGCCCGTTCTTCCCCAGTTTGATTTGCAATTACTCGTCGCACTGCTTCCGCTCCGCGAGTACGACGACATAAGTTTGATCTTCTGCGAGGCATTATTTGGATGAACTAAAGCAGATCGATTGCACTAAAGAAGAAGAAAGAAAATTATAACAAAAACATATAAAATTGCAAAACATTAAAAAAGGAAAGAACACGGCCGTGAGCACAATGTTGAATCTGTATAGGCTTGCTTCCAGACTAGAGTCGTCTGCTCTTTAGGGGTTCTTTATATACTATTACCATGGGGAAGGTACATAGATATACATACATGCCATAAGCAACGGCAAAACTTGTCACAAACAAAACACATATGCAAGACACTAATGCACATAATAGATATATAAGTGCACGAACCTTGGCCTATCCCGAAATCTGAACATAAGAACGGAAAAACAGCAGTTCCATCATCAGTTTTAGAGACACCTAGGTTCACCAGTGTTTGTCGAAACATGTAGTGTGATGTACAACAAACTTCAACATGTAAAATCTTTCAGGTTACAAAAACGCAAGTTGCACGTGAGACAGCTAATAACAAAAAAGAAATAAATGAATGATGTGTAAAAAACACGAACAAGTGACGCATCTGCCTTCCTACATTCAATCTGTCTTTAAACTTATGTTCTCAACAGCGAACAGCGTTTCTTCTTTTTTTTTTCCATATGTCGATCCGGAATTTCTCACATCAGGATTAATGGTTACCGAAGCGGAGAGGTTTCACTCCACTTGTAATCTTTGTTCCAACTATAAGCTACTCTGAAAATTGTTCTAAATATATTTTCTTTTGCACCATTCACACCCACAATTGCTTATGCAGATATATTTGCCATTCATGCTATCCACACTGACACATGACTTCGCTTTCTTCTGCATTGATATTGTAGACTATATCTCCCTGCACATTTCAGATTAGTCTTCACGCAAATTTAAACATACTTCAACGTTTTAATCACTTATATTATCTTAAAATTTACTTGGATAACCGCATTAACCAGCTTCCAGCATCAGGACATCAATTTACAGACCCAAAATCGGGCCTGCGCCCTCAAAATGCGAAGACTGAACCTAACCTCTAAGACGCCGAGTTCTGAACCAAGCCACTCTACAGCAGAAATCTGCCGCTCCGAATTCCACAGTTGCACTACACGTTGCTATCAGAGCAGGCCCCTTCACCACTCGTGCGAAAACTTCTTCATAATTACCTGAAAATGTCCGAGGACTTCAGGTTCGCAGATAACAGTAATGAATAACAAATAGTAATAGCCTGTCAGAACAGTAACATAACATCATATGACATGACATAACACTGACTGGGCGCTTGACGCAAAGGAAACAATTTGCACAGGATTATCTCTTGTCAAAAACATCGTGTAATATATTCGGTCTAGTACGTACCAGAAACACTTATAAGGGCCGATTACTGACTGAGGAGCCACATTCCTCAGGTTACACTTCCAGTTCATTTCAGCGGCACCGCAAATGGAATCAGAAGGTATTCAGGTATGTGCCGCATAAAGTCAAATCTACGGCTTTATTTTCTACTTCATAAGTTCTCATAATATTTTAATATAAATTTGGAATTTGTCTTCTATCTCAGGAATACTTTTACAGTTTGCAATTTGTCAAAACCCGCTTTGTATTCTTTCATTATGTCCGAAGTCAAATCCTTCACCCAAATACTGACAACTCGTTGTAAGACTCTTGTGAATCCCAATTTCAACGACTAATACATTACACGGCGTTATATCGCAAGAGACAGAAATCTTCCTACAAAATAAATCTTATAAGAGCAAGAAACACCTACAGTAAGATCAAGACAAAAGCTACAAAGAAAACGACATTAACAATTTTCAGCAGAAAATTATATTCGAATACGTTTTCGAGAGACATGGCGTAAAAATTAGAATTTCGTTTAAGAAGCGAATATATTTTCTGCAATGACAGAATTTTAAATGTAAGATTTAAACTGAAGGCACTGAGTGTTCAAGTATTCTCAGACACGTACAGTCTAAAAATGTGAAGATATGACATCAATAAATAAATTTCGAGGGTTTAGAAAATGTTAAGGATATTGCTTAGTACTAATTTTTCTGTTTATTGAAAAAATACACGACCCGATTAATCTGCAAATATGATTAAGGTGCAATTGATTGAATAGAACTGTGAAAGAATCATGCGCTATATACTCGTACTCCAGAAAATATAAAATAAAGCAATGTTAACACTTTCTACTCGTAAATTACTTTCATTTTACAGTCTATATGCTGACGGACACAGAAGTATCTTAGAAAAAGGATAAACAAGACGATACAAAAAATAAAGATAGTGAATATAATTGTCGAATCCAGTAGCCCAGTAGACCAAATGAAATAAGTTGGTTCTTAAATTCTCCCATACTCCATCAGACACGGAGTAAACAAAACATTTAACTCGTGACGCCAGTAACATTATTTACTTAATATGTGAACAATTATTACCTGTCATTAAGGCTGTTGGCACCATTCTATAAATATTTGACAATGAAAGAGACTGCACGACAGCAGATAGGATATCAATAATAGATGCGTTAGCAAGATTTCAGCAAATTTTTGCAAACAACTTCATGTGACTCTACATCTTAAAGTCAAGCCATACGTAAAAATATCAGTTTGAGCGTTAGACCATGACATTCAGAAGCGTTCTACCACCTCCTCCTACAATCGAAAAGAAATGTTCATTCTAATAAATATAAGTTGATTATCATCAAACTCAGGCATCCAAATTGTGTTCCATTCCTTTAGATATCCTCATCTCGTACAGCGAGGGCCTCTACGCTGTTTTACGTCACTGCTCTACTCGCCTTCCTGCAGACGAACACACACGTGCATGGACTCCTCAAGGCTCCAGAGTATGACTTCATCATTGTTGGTGGCGGCGCTGCGGGCTGTGTATTGGCTAACCGCCTGTCGGAAGTTCCGGATTGGAATGTGCTGCTAATAGAGGCGGGAGGAGAAGAGAACTTCATACAGGATATCCCGCTCATACCATTTGTCTTGGAATACACACCCGCAGACTGGAAATATAGGACAGAGAGGTCAAATTCGTCTTGCTTTGGGTCGAAATTTGGTCTCTGTCATTGGCCTCGAGGAAGAGTTCTGGGTGGAACAACTGTTCTCAATTATATGATATACTCCAGAGGCATTCGCGCAGATTATGACGGGTGGGAGGCTCTAGGGAACACGGGATGGGGGTACGATGATATCTTGCCCTATTTTCTGAAGTCCGAGCACATGACAATCCCATCATTAGCCAATGATACCAAGTACCACTCCACCAAAGGAGAACTTGTAATCACATATCCTATTCATCGCACAAAACTGGCAGAGGCATTTATTAATGCGGGTCTCCAGAGAGGATACAATTACGTGGATTACAATGCAGAGAGTGAAATAGGCTACTCTTACCTGCAGACCACAATAAAAGACGCGAGGCGTTGGAGTGCTTATCGTGCATTTCTTGAGCCTGTAAGAACCAGAAAGAATTTGCACGTCGCGACACACAGCCTGGTCACTAAAGTCCTTATTGACGAGAACACTCGGGTTGCTTACGGAGTAGAGTACAAGAAATGGGGGTTGCTTCCCGTCCAGGCTAGAGCCAGGAAGGAAGTGATCCTCAGTGCAGGAGCCATAAATTCTCCACAGCTGCTCATGCTGTCAGGTATTGGCCCAAGTGATCACCTCCAAGAAGTACAGATTAAAGTTATCCAAGATTCTAAGGTCGGTTATAATCTTCAGGATCACGTAACACTTGGTAATTTGTACTTCACTCTCAACCAGTCGGTTGGTTTACGCTTCGACAATATTTTTGACGATCTTGTAGGTGTGGTTGAGTACTTCTTGAAGAGGGACGGAATTCTGACAATTCCTGGAGGAACTGAGGCCTTTGGATTTGAGAATGTGGGAGATTTTGGTAACGGAGAACAGACAATCGAATTGCTTTTCGCCGCAAGCACTCTGGCAAATTTACATTTAGCTTGGCATTCTTGGGGGGCAAGAACGGATATTTTGTTTGAATCTTACTTACCTCTCCATAACAAAGATGCCTTCACAATTTTCCCCATACTTATTCGACCCTACAGTCGTGGTAGGATTTTACTGAAGAACAAGAATCCTTGTACCCATCCACTCATTGATGCCAACTATTTCTCCGATCGCAGGGATATTGAGATCATTATTAAGGGCATCAGAAGAGCTTCTGAGTTGACGAAAACAGATGCTTTGCAGAAGTATGGCGCTGAACTCTACAGAAAGACCATACTGCCATGCAAAGACCACGAGTTCGACTCGGACGCTTTCTGGGAATGTAACATACGATACATGACTTTTACAATATTCCACCCTGTGGGGACCTGCAAAATGGGCAATGATTCTGATCCAGACGCAGTTGTGGATCGTGCTTTGCGTGTGAGGGGAGTTAAACAGCTTCGAGTGTCGGACGCTTCCATCATGCCAACTGTCCCATCGGGCCACACAATGGCGCCAGTTTACATGATAGCCGAGAAGACGGCAGACCTCATTAAGGCGGACTGGTTAAAGTGATAAGTTGACTCTGTCTTACGAAAAGGGTTAGGATAAATTTGTGCGTACTGTTTTCATATCAAAATACACATTAATTAGATCTCGTAGGTATTTGCTCCCTCTTAATTCGTCCGAATTTTGTAGTAAATCACTGTTTGTCCCAATTTAGCATTACCTGAATGAAGGGGAAAGTCATTATCCAATGCTTAATCAAAATTATTGATGAAAGGGCCAATTCGAATGTAATGAAATTAATAAGCAGACCGGTTCCCGCTAGTGAAGTTTGAGAGAGCTTTGCAGTTCTTGAGGGTCGTGTTGGTTGGTATTCATCTGTCAATGTGATAATGAAAGTTTAACTTCCATAACAGAAAGCCGTTCCCCAACAGGTCCCGCGTCTACATAATGCTAAAGGCAGACTACCTTACTTAATTTTTTATATAAGTAAGCCTCGAATGTCCTTACTGCTACACTTTTGAGTGTGAACGCTTGAAAGAATTTTTAATATTTGAATATATTTTAGTTCCGTTTTCTTTTTAACCCCAGGCTCAGAAGTATAAATGTTCCAAATATATGTTGGTCTGATGATCATCTGTTGACTCTGTTTTAAAATTCAAATCCAGCTACAGAATTGTGCGATTTAATCACTCCAAAATTCAGTGCAAATTAATAGCACAACGTAACCACTCCAACTCAATGTTCTTAAATGTGTGTTGTGCTTGAGGTTCTAATGTAATAAATAAAGGGCTTCCGAATTCCAATTTTTTTTCTCACTTTATTTCTTAGGGAAGAGTTTTGAATGTTTTTAAGTGTGTCAGAGAACTTGAAAGTGCCACAACTAACAATCTCATATATTCTGATCCAGAAAATGTTTACGCAGGATCTGCATATCAACATATCACTTACTTTAGTGTACATTCATATCATTATGTTAAGCACCGTGCTGTACTTGTGCACGCACCACTGTAAACTTGTGTGAAATATAAGCAATCTGCTCAGGTTCAGTTTTTTGAAAATAAATATATTTAGACAGTATGAACTTTGGAATTATTATTGAAAACGAACGGTAAGAGCTACATCACACATCCATTTCAGACAATCCTCAGGGCCCAGAGAGCTGTTGGAATATCGCACACTTTATTTCTTAACAAAATGGAGGACTGAATGTGATTGACATTCCTACTCAGATTGGCTGCATAGACCTACCTGCACTGCTACTGGCTCGCGACTATTTCAGGTGGAGATACTTGCCTTTAATTTTGTTCCCATTTCCGGAATCTTCAAATGACTATATTTGTTCTTCATTGTACTCTGACCACCAGATGACCCGTGACATAACTGAGACTGGAAAGTTATTCACTCTGAACTTTCCAAGTTGTTCTCGTATATTTCATACACAGTTCATCTCTTCAATCAGGCACTGTTTCGTAACATTTAACTGAATAGCTGCAGTAAATCCTGCCTGCGACCGCTGAATACGATGGTGTGTCAGAGCAGTAACATAATATCATATGACATGACATGACATGACATTACATAACATAATATAACATTGACAGAAATATTCGTTTCTGGGCATTGCACTGACATATGAACTGGTGTAGTGTAACAGTTTTAATTGCTGAAGAATTTCCTGAATAATGCCTTGTAAAGCCGAAACATTTTGCAGTTGAATGTGATGTTAATTACAGTTTAAAATAAAAGAGTGACTTTGAACGATTTTGAGTTGCAATACAGACAGAAATGAGTGAACACGTGATTATATAATTGCTCAAAATTGGAGACGAAAGTTGTGTCTTCAGTACACATATAAATATGAATAAACTTTACAACTTTACAAATTTTTGTGGTATAAAAATTTACAGAAACGATATATGTGTATAATTAAAATATGTGTATCTTCTGTACAGAAAACAATAGCATTTAAATGATGCTAGAGACATATTCATCCTGAGCATGTGTCACACAGAAAACACCTTGCCGCTCAACACGCTTTGCAATAACACAATCCGAACAATTTCACATGCAGCGGCAACGGTCGTTAGGTCAGTGACATTGGCCATTAGAATTTCAGGATGCAGTTCCTCAGACTGCGGATAGATGTAGCACTGAAGCATACCCACATCACCAGTGAGATGTTACGGTGTACCCAGTGACGAGAACTAAGATAGATGAAGCCCAGTGGAAAGAGAAAGATAAAGAATATCTTCACGGTTTTTGTCAAAACACCAAACGGGACAGACGTGAAAACTACTTTGAAAGGTCTACAGGAAAGGCTCATCTCCGTGGCTCCGCGAGTTAAAGCGAAACGCCGTTCCCTCGTGTCAGTAATACGTATGAGAGCAGCCCACAACAAAAAAAAAAAACAAATTCCGTGGGTTTATTCCGCAAGCGAACTATACCGACCGAGCGACAACCGCTTGTCGGGGAAGTTAGTGCCAACTTTAGCTGATAGATGGTGTTACGTGGTCAGCACAACGAATTCCCACTGCCGTTAATGTCAGTTTTCTAGACCGCAGCCGCTATTTCGTTGAAGTTGCTCTTCAGTTATCTTCACGAGGTTGAGTGGATCCAGTTCCAGACCCACTACTCCTCAGAAAATATGGTATCGCCTGGGAATCGAACCCGGACCTCTCGATCTGCAGCCAGGAACTCTGACCACTGGACCACAGGGGCGGTTATGAGAGCAGGTCACACCAGTCTGAAAGCAAGCCTAAATATATTTAACTTTGTGACCATGGTCGAATGCGAATGTGGTGACGGGCTGCAAACGGAGGAACATATCTTCTGGACTGTAAACGGTACGAGGTCCAAAGGGCAACAGTGATGGACATTTTGTCTGAGAACCGTAAGAAATAATGCCCAAAGCCAGTTACCGAGCGTTTGAGGTTAGAGGAAAAAAGTTTTGTGCAAGGCGTCTGTTATTTCGTCAACAAAATTCCCATTAAAAAAAGGAAAGGTCTATACGTACAAAATATTAATAGCATATTCTTAGAGTTAAGAGAGATATTCAAAAATCGCGGGGCGACCGCTGTAGTAGAATGAGGTTTTTATATAAATGTGCATTGACGAGGCCATTTTTCCATATACATGATTTCTTTCAAGATGAAAAGAGACGTGTTCCATAATCCCGTAACAGTCAACACTAAACATTCTCTTATGGAGTGTCCTTAATGGCTTCCTGCACAGGGTAAGTCTCTCCTAGTTACAGAATCTTTGAATGTCGTTTATTTACCTTTCCCATCAAACAAAATATTGCTTCGTCCGACAATATGAGATGTATTCCATGAAACCTTGGTCATTTCCGAATACCTAAAGCAAGGAATTTGCTGGTTTCGCTCAGAATGACTTTTACACATTTCCCTCCAAGCTTCCACAAGCTTTATCTTTTCTATAATTCTCTATTTAAATTTATAAAAACAAATTCTGCTCACTCAGTACAATATAAATTTTCTATATGTTCAAGTACATAAAGGGGTTTATTTCGTCAACATGAGGCACTTTGTAAGGTGTGAGGTTTTCCCGGCGGCGACAATGAACAATTCCGTCTTCTGGGACATGGCGCCGTGTAGATCTTGTGTAAACCGACTTTTCGGAGGAAATTATCGCTTCCATATTCAGGGTAGAAAATACCGCGAGAGAGGAACCAGCGTCAGCAGGTGGCTGCAGGCTACTCCTCTCCTACACAACCACCTATTCACTATTAAGTCACTGTGTTCTGCGGGTACGGAATGCAACATGAACTACGTAATACTACTAACTACATATGTAGACATAAATATGTTCCCACTTAAAATAAAATTCGCAGAATTCTTCAACCTTCTCCTGAGATGTGGCCACTTTTCTTATAATATCGGAGAACACAAAAGTTGAAATGTTAGTGAGGGAACAGGCTTAATATTTAGGCGAAAGATATCCTTATAAGATGCCGTGGAGGCCCATATGGTTGTGAGACTTCGAGGTGCCCACATTTTCTTGACAGTCGGCTCACAGATGGCGATTAAGTTGTCAGCCTTACACGCCGGCCTCCCTTTACCCCCAAAAGAAGTTTCCTGGTACTCATTTGTGTTAGAGACTGAGACGACCCGAGGGCCTTGGAGCGGCTGAAAAGATTAGTCAGTTGAAAATCTAGGGATCTCGTCGGGAATCGAACCCGCGATCTTCCGGCTTATAGCGAAGTTCCTCAACGCTACCGCATGTTTCCGTAAAACAGTTCGTTTATTGTTGCTAATGTAGTAAACGACTGGTCATCAAATATTGTGTAAAAGAAAGAAAAAGTCCTATGTTTGCTTAAATAAAGACCATGCACTGAAGAGTGGAGTGGAAGTATAGATCCGCTCGTTCTTAACCTGGGCACTAAATGAATGTGAATGATTAGATTTACGGCCCGACCGCCAGCTCATAACTTCGTTAAACTGAGCTATTCCGCCAACACATAACCGTCTTCTCAGTAAAAAAAATTATAAACACAAAAATAATTCCCATATTTTTGACATTGTGACTACACCGGTTAATCTTTGCTTTTATAAGATACTGTGGCGTGTATAGCCGTTGCTATTCAAAGATATCCAGACAAAATATGTGTTGCTTGGTAACGGCCGATAAACATGCCACCAATACCCGGGCTGTCGCTAGAGCAAAAACCTCGAAGAAAAGGAGTTGCCGTTGTTATGCAGTAGGCGAATCAACAAAGGTCCTTTTCTAGGCAACGGATAGGTAAACACGCCTACAATATTAGATGGACTTTTAAAAGGGGTGTATTCAGTTGGATCCGACCCGAGACTATATAACGAGGGCCCCATGTCAGCTGAGAAATTGACAGGATTTCAGGTGGATGCGGAGGGCAGCACTGGAGTGAAGGACCCACGCACAGGAAGGCGGCTGCATCTTGGGAACGAGAGAACAGAGAGCCGAACCCTCAGGATGAACAAGGGCTGGATATCAGGAAACGAGCAGTAGAGATTTCCAGCGGATTACAGAAAAGCATGGACTGGTCATTCTGAAGGGGTTGCCCCCTCCAAAGCGAAAGAAAAAATGAAACAATGCATAGAGGAGGAGCCGGTAACGTAGTAGCACCGGCTTCCCCAGCGAGAGTGAAAGTGTGAGAAAGGAAGAAAAACTGTGGATTCTTGTGGTACAACTTATGTAGGGAGCGGATGTAGCGGTTGGAGAACGGACAGCGGGAAGAAAATAAACACCGAGCCAGACAAAAATATGTTGCTAGTATAACCTTGGAAGGAAAGGACCGTTGATGCATTGTTAGGCTATTCGGGAAAAACAGCCTTAAGGAGGGAGAAGTGTAACAAGTCAAACCGTTGTAACACAGCTGAATGTGGAATTAGTTACGACGAAATCTTGATAAACGGTCGGTTGCCAAGTGACGCAACAGTGGAACGAGGTTACACAACAGTAAGGAAAGCTGTGTTTCTCCGTGCTGTGCCGAGACGGGCCGAACCGCGCTTGTTGCTACGCAGCAGTAAACAACTCTCGGCAGCGTTTCCAAGCAACGCCTCTGTAAACAGGGCGTCACGCAACAGTGAAGCAAACCGTGTTTGCCGCCTGTCCGAGACGAGGTTATAAAACTCCAGCTTCAACAACAGACGATTTTCAAGGAGGATTTTATCGTTAGAAAACTCCAGCGCGGTCTGAGCTCAAAAGAGACCTGGTGTGAGCGTTGGAATATTAAAATTAATGAAGATAAGACTCAAGGGGTCTACTTCTCTCGTAGTCTTCGGCCGCCTGACTCTTGTCTCACTCTAAATGGACGAAATATTTTATTTGTAAATACTGCAAAATATCTAGGTGTAATCTTCGATAAGAGAGTTAAATGGCGATTGCACATAGAAATGATCCAAGCCAAGGCCTTCAGAACATTCATTAGAGTCTATTTCCTATTCAGAAGTGAGCGATTGAGCGCTAACATTAAACTGACCCGCCACAAAGCCACACACCGGTCCGCGATTTGCACATGGTATTCAAAATCCCGTA